CCCCAAAACCCCAAAACCCCATAAGTAAAAATTATATAAAAGAGGATAAAATTACAAATAAAAGTGTAGTTAGGAATTGAAGGTGTTTATTAAATTAATTTCAAATTTATTATTGTTAAGCACTACCACCACTTATGTTTTAAAGCATTAAAACATTTTGAACTGTAGGTGCTACCATTCCTCCAGCATTTGAGTACCCATACTGTTGTTACTATTGCCAAAGCATCGCACCTGTGCTTGATACTGTAAATTTGTGCATATTCTGGCTTTTGATTCTATTTAACTCGTCTCTAGGAATATCTCTGCCTTTATACCTTGGCTCGTGTATAAAATGGCAAGAGTCTCCTTTATTACAATAGCCTGTTTGAGGCTGATGATACATTTTACAGGGCACAGTACGATAATTCTTGGTGGATTGCTGTGCCTAGACCATAAGTACCATTTACTGCTATTTCTTGTGTTTCTCTTCTTAAATAAACTAATTAGCATACTTTTAGTAAAACTCGATAAGCTTTCTACTGAATTTTAGCTAGTCTTAGTTGTATTTGTTATAGAACTGAGCCATGGTATCTCTTAGACCACTGCTTGTATTTAGGAATTCCAAACCTATTAGAGATGAGTTGCAAGAGTATTTTTAGATTCCTCTTTAAGTTTATCGACTTTTATTTCAGAAATTACTCTGAATATAGCCTCAGAATTTGAATTATAAAGGCCTTTGCTCATAGTTTCACACAATAGAGCAACTAACTACTGTTGCTATCTAATGTGTTCTTATTCTCTTCGCCATTCTTCATAGAAGTCAGGAATCATTTTTTCTAGATATTTTTAGGATTGTTTTTCAGAATCACAAGTACCATTAATTAAGGGATCAGTAGGAATAAGGATCTCTTTGTAATAAATAACTTGAAAACTTCCAAATTCTCTCTGTTTTTGGTTAGCAATTTCTTCACTATTATCCCCTTAAGCTTAGCAATAACTTTCATCAACATCAACATCTATAATTATTAATTTCGAGATAATATATTACACAGTAGTTAAGAAGTCGACCACTGAGACAACTTAGGATTCATTTCAACTTAGCTCTCTTTTGGCTTTTCAGTGTTTCCATTGCCATTTTGATGACCTAATTACTACTTCTGATTAGCATTAATAGTTTTTTCTCTCAGCATGTCGGCCCTTTTCATATCACTAATGTTTTTAAGTAAAGCACCTGCCTTTGTTTCTCTCAATGGAATCATATCTTGTTCTGCTAACTCTGGTGCATTCGGCTAATCTCCAATAGCAAAGTATCTAATTTGCTTGAGCTTCTTTTCATCTTTTTGAAATCTCACTATCTTTCTCACATGCCTATTAGTTTTCTTAATAGCAGAGGTTTTCTTATCTGGCATTTTATCACTTCTATCCTTATCGTTCTTACTATGATTACTACTATTAGAGTATTGCTCCTTAGTCCTTATGATGAGGGGTGGATCTAGGTCCATTCGATCGTCATCTTACCTAATTCTAGGTCTATCTCTTTCCCTCTCTCTTTGCCTATCCTTGTCTCTATCATCATCTCTTCTTGACTTCTCCTTGTATTTTTCGCTTTCGCTTTATACCTTTGGTGAATCGTCCTTTGGCTTTAGATTTTTATCACTTTCCTGTCTCTCCTTAAGATCCTTCTTCCATTTAAGTACCACCTCTGAAGCATGACTCTTAATCAACTCATTGCATGATTCCTTGGCTAACTTATTGACCAATCTGCCTATTTTGTTAGTCTTCAACTCCTTCTATGATGGGGAGGGTATTACTAAACATAAACTCAAAATTTGTTCAGTGATCTTCACGTTTTCCTCATTATCCTGTTTCTCCTTGTTCTCCTTGAAATCATTGAGAAGCGGTATTGCAAACAAGTCAATAAAACACTCTTTTTAAAGCATATTAGCTACTTTTTCCCGATGATCAGAGTATGTCTTGAGGAAGTCTTGCAGATTCAGATAGATAAAACTAAACACACATTTAAGCTATAACAACGAATCGTCATTTGGCTGGTTGCCCAGAGTTGACACTTCCTTCTTTAGTCTTTTGACTAAATTTTCTAGATCGTCATAAACATCCTAAGATCCCACTAATTGCTTTTGCAAAAAATCTTTAAGTATCTTGTAAATATAGGTAGAGGAAGGGACTTTTTGTAGTATAGAGGTGAGGGTTTACAGCATTATTTAGAATTCTAATTTAAATATTCTAATTCTTATTAAATTAATAAACTCAAAGCGCTTTTCTTATTTATTATACCTTTTTATCTAATATTTTTATATTTTCAAAGAGAGGGGTTTTGGGGTTTTGGGGTTTTGGGG